AACTTAAATTGTTTTCTTTTTCTTTTTTGCTTGTTCATTTTCAATTTTCCTTTTTCTCCCTATTATTCCTCTCTCTCTCACATTCTCTTTCTTATTTGGCATGAAAAATTATGACCATTGTAGTTGCTCTAAGAAAAGTTAGCTCTATGGGAATGATACAGTATAATATTATGATGCTCTTAGTCTATGATTCCATAAAGTATTATCTAAATTGACTCAATTTCATAAATTCAAAGTGACATTGAAGAAATATTCTTTTATGATAATACCTTTAGAATATCTTAATATTTAGAAGGAATTTATTCTCTCTTTTTTTTCGTATGACGAAGAAAAACTTGCAATCACAGAAGAAATTTATTCTTTAAAAAAAACACCAAATCATATTATAGGAAATATAATAAGTGTTGAATACACAAGGAACGGAAGAAATCCAACAAGATGCACCAGCATGTGAATCAGTAGCCCTTGCCAAGTCTATCTTAGTATAGACCACCAAATCTCAACATAGACTTTTAACTCTATCAAGTCTATCTTAGTATAGACCACCTTTAAAGGCTACAAAGTGGTTAAAGCCATAAATCTTGTGTAAGTCTTTTCATGATTTCGTTTGACAACAGATGTGGTACCCGTCATGAATTCCTTACCTCACTGGTCTTAAACCCATCTCCCTTAATATTTCTAAAGATGTTTTTTTTCAGTTTAGACCTTTTTTAAGGATCCCTCATACCTCACAAACTCCATTGTCGTCAATCTGGTAGCTATCAACTGCCGTTCAAACTCATGGCGTACGTTAAAGATGAAGGAGAAGAAAGTTAAATGGTTGAAAGGATTGGAAAATTATGAAAAATAAATTATTAAAAACAATTCTAATTATATTACATGATCGAGGGACCAAATGTGGCACATTATGAACAATTAAAGGATTATGTTTGTTCAAATCAATTAACAGTGGCTAAATTTTCAAAAGTAAAACAATTGAGGGGCCAAAAACGTTGTTTTCCCTTGATTAAATTGTGATTGGAAGCCATTAGGGGAAATCGTACTTTTGGCCCCTCAATTAGTGCCCCATATGCAATGGATCCTCACTTCCCAATTCGGACAGAATTGGTCTCTCAATTATTCCACTGTTAGTCAAGTTAGTCCTTCTGTGAATGGTGTTAAACGGATTAACTCACAGAAGGACTAAATTGACTAACGGTGAAATAATTGAGGGACCAATTCTGTCCAAATTGGAAAGTGATGATCACATTGCATATGGGGCACTAATTGAGGGACCAAAAGTGCGATTTCTCCAAATTATATATATAACTAATGTAAATTTTATTTAGGGAAAATTGCACTTTTGATCCCTCAATTAGTGCCCCATATGCAATGTGATCCTCACTTCCCAATTTGAACAGAATTGGTCCCTCAATTATTCTACCGTTAGTCAATTTAGTCCTTCTGTGAACGGTGTTAAACAGATTAGCACACAGAAGGACTAAATTGACTAACGGTGGAATAATTGAGGGACCAATTCTGTTCAAATTGGAAAGTAAGAACCACAATACACATGAAGGACTAATTGGGGACCAAAAGTGCGATTTCCCCAAGCCATTAATAGAGCTTCATAGCTATAATGAAAAGAGGGAGAAAAGGGTAAGATTGTAAATGATTAGAGGGATTCTTTATTTTTTCGCCTTTACTCCCTTTTAAAGGGAACAATGATAGAAGTATAACTTATTGCAGTTACTCTTTATGGATGTCAAATACTCAAATGGGACTTGAACGCAATCCATCATCTTAGACCAATCTACATAAACTACCATATTATTTAGAACATTAAACTGATCGACTCTTATTGAGTCGAGGATATTAATAATCCCAATAATGTAAATATTTAACTTATTGGCAAAAATACCATGAATATGTTGATTCCTACCATCTATGAATCTACCAATTGTATGGATGCATAGTAGTATGGGCACCATCCGTCCACTTTTGGGGGTGAAAGTGTTTTAGATAATTAGCTATTCAATTCCAATATTTCTAAAATAGTTAATTTCATCTATGATGTATTATGTCCCTGGGTCAAAATGAAAAAGTTTCATCTTTTCAAGATTGAAAAGCATTCATAATTATTTTAAAAAATTATTTTTAAATATTTCAAACAAAAAATATTTAACTTTTTTCTCAACACTTTTTAACTTTTGAAAAAAAAAAAAATCTTCTTATTAAATTTCAGTACACCTATCCAACTTTACTGTTTGTTTACTACTCTTTTGTTTATTTTATTTAATATTTCTTAAAAATTTTAAATTCAATTTTTGTGTTTATTATTATTTGTAATGTACTTCCTAATATATAAATTTATACAAAAACACTAAACCACATATTATTTTTAAAAAATTGAAATAAATAATTTAAAGCAAGCCTGATTTGTGGTGTTCATCTTTTTAGTTCAGTTAATTTAATTTGAACTGAATTACCAGGACTATGTGGTCTAATGGTATCCGGGTTGGACTTCTATTTGGAAGATTATGAATTCAAGCCTCAGTGGAGGCGTTATTGGTTCTTTGTGTTTCAGTAGGTTGAGAAAGTATATGAACAGATACTACAATGTAATAGAGCCAATAACTTTAAAAAAAAAAAAAATTGAACTGAATTAACCATTTTTTTTTTTTGTTTTGGTGAAACTGTTAACCAAACAAAAATATAATTTATCCAATTAATCATTGAATAAAAATATGTTATAAATATATAATATATTCTTATATAAAAAGCAATAATTTTTACTTTTTTTTTTGTAGTTACTAATTCAATGAATTTTTAATTGAATTAAACTATTAATTGAACCGCAATGTAATCATGAATCAATATAATTGATTATCACTGGATTAATTTAGTGCTTCAAAACTCGAAAAATGACTTCCGAAGTTATTTTCTGAATTTGTCTGTGTTTGAGTATTTAAGGAATATAAAATCAAAGGAAAATATAATATTCATTCTAGTCAATGGAAAAAAATGTTCAATTTGACAGAAAATGTCTTTCTAAATTTTTAGTGCTAAGAAATTTTTCGGATTCTTTATTTTCTCATATTTATCTTCTCTCTCATACCTTTTCAGGCTAATTTTCAAATTATTATTATCACTACCACAACCACCACTACTTCACCACCACCACCTCCACCACACCACCACCACCACCACCATCACCACAACAACAACCACCACTATCACCAACACCACCACCACCACAACAACAACCACCACCACACCACTACACCACCACAACCACAATCACCATTGTTGGTTTTATTACCACCGGGACAGTCAATCGGCGGGCCAATACTACTAGAAAATTGATCGGAATGATGCTAGAAAATTATTTTATTGCCTTGTGTGTGATTAGAGAGCTTAACCCTTGTTCAGGGCCTTTACAACGTATTTATACATGAATCCTTGGCCTCCGGAGGGCAAGAAATCGATTAAAACTAGGTAAATAAATCAATGATTGAGATAGACAATTTCGTCTACCTCGTCAACTCATTCGTCAGGCCACTTGACTTCATGGCCCATACGCCTATATATTCGTCCGACTCATCCATTCGTCCGCCTAGTCGCCTGACTCCTTAACCCATCCGCCTAGTCGCATGACTCCTCGACCCATCCGCCTAGTCGCATGCTGACTCCTCGACCCATCAGCCTAGCCGCATAATGTTGGATATCTCGTTGGTGAAACCCAATAATAATCCTAAAATATAAGGATTATTATTTTCTGTAAAAAAAGGGAAGGAAAGATGAAGAAATTGGCTTCATGTTTGGTGTAGGGTTTTTAGATCTTGCTACGATTCAATGTTTCGTACCGATGCCGACAAGCTTAAACCAAACCTTTTCGATCTTTTTGGGATTTGATTTACACCCCCCTCACCCCTAACGCACGAGAGAGAACATCTATGCTATGCAATTCAATATGCTTAAAAAGAGCTCTTGTATAAATAGTGGGGCAAATTCTCTTCCCAAACCAATGTGGGACAAAAGCTCACTTTTTCCTTTCATTTTCCAACTCAAATGGGTCTACTTTGAGAATCAATATCTCATTAACCCATTATATGTTTTGAGCGTACAATATATCAATCTATTTGTCTCACTACGAAGAATCCGAATCCACTATGACCCGACCCAAATCAAAAGTGAACCCCACTGATTATTGTACCACAAAATAGTCACTTAACATGCCATTTTATGTCATTTTAAGCTATTTTTTTCAACACAACTCCTCGACTCATTCACCTAGCTGCATGACTCATTTGCCTACTCTTCAAGCTTGCACTCACTCCTTGCTTGACGCCTCCGAAGGAATCTGCTTGTTTATCCCTTGGCGGTCTACTGGCTTCAAGGGACCCCCAGTCCTTCTTGGCCCTTTCCTGACTTCCTCCTTAATTAACCGCCTGCTCGCCACATTAGGTCGGGTATACACTCTTATCCATCATTCACCACCACCATTTAGTATTATTATTATTATTATTATTATTTTATAACAAAGGAACTGCTACTGCTACTATTTTATAACAAATGAAAAAAAAAATGAACTAAACATAAAAATACTATTTTTTAACTTCCAACAAATTCAAACAGAAAAAAATAATTTTCAGACCTTCAATTAAACATTAGAAAATTAAATTATTTTCTAAAAAAATTAGTCATTTTAAAAATATATATTCTTTTTAAAAAACATTTTACAGATTTTCAAATGGACCTTTAATTAAACACTCCTGAACCTCATCAACCAAATAAAACACATAAAATAGGATAGAGAATTGTTTTTAAAAATTATTAAATTGATATATAAAATTAAAAAAACACACAAAATATATATATATATATTTTTAAAGTTGATTAATAGGGTGGACCGTATTGGTAGTGCGCCCCGGACCCGGCTCCCATGGATCCGTGTCGAACGCGCACACGCACCAATTTTCTTTTATTAGAACGCACACTTTTTGAGTTCTGACTCACTCTACATATTCTTCTTCTTCCTCCTCCGCCCTCTCAGCTTTGCTTCAACTCCATAGCCATATAGAAAGTTTTCTCTGTTTCTGCAGCGCGCGCGAAGAAGAGAATTGAAGAATGAAGAGTGGAGCGGTTGTAGACGAGGGATACATATACAATGAAGAGAAGCATCTCACTGTTCTCAAAACTTCCCTTTTCTTCGCCGGCGACGGCTTCTCCGCCTACGACTGCACCGGCCAACTTGTCTTCCGTGTCGACACCTACGGCCCCGACTCCCGTGACCGGACCGAAGTCGTCCTCATGGACGCCGCCGGAAAATGCCTCCTCACCGTCCGCAAAAAGGTTAATTCATTAGCTTTAATTTCTCCATTAATTAATGTTCTGTCCAAACGAACTGACTCGGTGATTGTTGTGTTACAGAGGCCAAGTCTGCATAACAGATGGGAAGGGTACTTAGGGGAGAGAATGGAGGGGGAGAAGCCAATCTTCAGCGTGCGGCGGTCGTCGATAATCGGACGGTCGGGCGTGACGGTGGAGGTGTACCACACTCCAACCGAAGAGTACCACATCGAAGGCTGCTTCGCGCAGCGGAGCTGCACCATCTACGACGCCGACAAGCAATCGGTTGCCGAGATTCGCCGCAAAGTTGACGCTTCCTCCAAGACGGTGCTCGGTAAAGACGTGTTCTCGCTCACACTCAATCCCGGCTTTGACGGGGCCTTCGCCATGGGGCTTATCCTCGTGCTGGACCAGATCGACGGCGATGAACCTTTCCTCAACGACCACGATAATAATCGGGTAGACGTGGACCCCACCTGTGTTGAACCCACCATTTCTCCTTGAAATTTCGGAATAAATCTTGTATAAAATAGTCTCATTTGAAATATGTATTACATTTTAACTAAAAAAAATATAAAATGAGACTCATTTAAAAAAAAAAAAAAAAAAAAAAAAAAAAACTCAAAATCCTAACATATATTTTTGTAGTAACTTGTGTTTTGATTCACTGATTATCAAATTATTTGTGGCGTTTAAAATATCTAAAGCAATTTCTTTGTCTTCATAGTTTTGGCTTGTAACGTTATTGGTCAAAACTTTAATTTGGATAGCTTTTAAAGAAGGCCACAAGTAAATGGGGCATATTTAATGTGTTTCTTGTGATTATAGTAATTTTAGGGACCACGAAGAGTCTATAATGTCTGAAAATGGAATAGACTTTCGGCAATAGAAACATCTATTCCTTACAAATTAACTATTTTTTTATTTATGAGAAGTCTAAAATCATTGTTTGAATGTGCATATTGAATAAAGTCCATTTTATGACATAATCAGTAAAGAATCACAAAAGGTAAATCAACATAGATTATTTATAGTTGATCTATTCAAACAAATAAGGTCAATAGACAATTCTCACAAGGAATCAAACTTGAAATCTTATAATTACTAAATTAATTGACCGACCAACTTGCATTAAATAGATAGTTCGCTCCGAAGAACATTTATAATAATTTTAAATTAAGAATTTTGATTTGCCAATAAAAAATTGTAGCAGGAAAATAAAAGATTCGATAAAAAGGTAAAGCTCTATCTGTTCATTTCAATTTTTTTGTTTTTGGTTTTTAAATTATTTCTTTTAATTTTTACTCTATTTTTTGTTTTCTAAATATACAATTATATTTGTTTTCCTTTCTTTATTATTTTTTTTATTTTCTAAAAGAATGATTTTTTTTTAAAATTAATAAATGCATCTTAAAATGCGTTGGCCATGTCCATTCCTTTCTTCTTCTCCCATTCTTTTCTTGTCTGGACTATGGGTAAAATATTAATAAATTAATGTTCAATGTTTAAAGCAGATCCACAAATCACAATGTCAGAAAGCATAATTTTTTAATGATATTTTTATTTTTATTTTAGAGTAAATCATACTTTAATTTAGAGTGTTAAATTAGTGTGAACATTTCTTTTTAAACAATAATAAAGCATCATTAAAGAGGTCTTTTCATTGTTATGCAAATCGCCAAATCATTTCTACATTGTATATATCATGGATGCCGTACTCCCTTAGATCACCCATGGGCACATCCTATTCAAATATTGTTATTTCTACTTGTTAGATAGGTCCGAAGTGGATCACCCTCGCCCCCGGCCATGATCTTCGGCCACTCTGAGCCCCAATCCTCGACTCATGGCAGCGAGTAGGACTAGACCTTTCTATGGGCATGTATCTTTGGACCAAAGCTGAATGGCGTGGGATGCATGATGGTCCTCTTTGGTAACATAGTTAGTTTATCAGTTAATTTTTACTTATTTAATCATTATTAGTTGTTTGACTTGGTTAAACAATTAATATGAGTGTTTGATTAATTAATTTTTTTTTTTGTAACAGCTTATTGCTCCAAAATATTAAAATTCAAAAAGCTGTTCAAACTAGTTTTTTTATCAGCTTTTTGAGAAAGTCATTTTGCATGTAATCAGCTATCAGCTAATTTACCAAACATTTTTCTACAATCAGCTAATGCTATCAACTAATCAAATACTCAAACCCACTAACCCAATCAACTAACAACTATTTACAAAAAATTGTATAGTAGTTATAGAAATTTGGCTTCATTTTTCTAACCTTTTCAATTTTGGTATTTTTTCTTACACAAACTTGCTAAAGTCAAGTTCATCATTTTGCAAATAAAATATTACTACTAAAGAAGGTTATAAAGAAGAAATATTAGAAGTTACTAAAATACTCTTTTACTAAACAAAACTTTAACAAAGTTTAATAGTTTTAATTTGTTGCTTCCGAAACTAAAAATGCAACGTATTTGAAAATTTATAAGTATATTGCAATTGTAAAAAGTTAAACACTAACAAAAATGACTACTCCGCAGTAAAGAATAATTGAGAAATAAAAACACATTTTTCCTTTATTCTATTTATTATAACATTCAAAACATGAGAAAAAAAAAGTTCTAATTAAATTGTGGCCATAGATAAATTATTGCAAATTATATAATGGACAAAGGTTCACAATGCGCATTATGAACCTTAATCCAAAATTTATTGTGAATAGGTTCAAAAAATGACGTTGTTTTGTTTAAATTAGTGCAACCTGTGGATTTATAAACCCCGGTCCAAAATGACATTATTTTATTTAAATAAATGCGGCCTTTTTTTTCCTTTTCTTCTATTAAGTCAACATTCATCTTTGCAATAGATAAATAATATATTAACTATAAATATATCAAGTAATTCTAATATTGTTTTAATATCATAATATGTGAACGACAAAGAAATAAACTTAAAGCTAAAGATTCATAAGTTTAGTATTTGATATGCTGGTATAATTTTTGGAGATATTTGGTTGAAAATTAGCAAGTTTTTATTATGAAATTAAGGTATTGATTTTAGTTTGTACCAACGTTGTTTTGAATTAGGGTACATCTTGTGATGTGGGTCCTATTTCACGATTCATAAACTATTGAACCTATGGCTATTATTCAACCAGTTCAATACACTTTATCATTGGAGAATTCTATTTACACCACTCTAATTGTTATTTACACTACCTATTTAATAGGTGTGATAGCTTTATAGGTGATGTAAATAGAAAGTTGTTATTTGCACCACCTTCATTAAATTTAGTCAAACATTATATTTTTAAAAAATATATTTATTATTTATTTTTATTTAAAAATCAAAACATTAATTAAAAAAATTAAAAAAAAAAAAAAATCCTCTCGCCTTCTCCGGTGAGAAGGCAGCCCAGTGGGTCGCCTTCTCACCAGAGAGGGCGAGGGCGAGGGTTTTTTTTTTTTGTTTTTTATTTTTTGTTTTTTGTTTTGTTTTTTTTTTAATGTTGTAATTTTTAAGTTAAAAAAAAAAATAATTTTGTTATTCTAATATTCTTTATAACTCAAATTTGTTGTATACATTATTTTACCTTTTAATACAAATATAATAAATTAATTTTGAATCGCTAAAAATTATAAAAACACATTAACATAATAATAAAATAATTAAAAAATTTCATTCAATTTCAATCTAATATAACATTTTCCCGAGTACAATTAGACCGTACATGCTCATTGTAACTATTGATTCGATTCACATATGGAGTCATCCATGCATTTGCACAATCATATTTAAAATAAGCCATTGTGGAGCAATAGTAGGTATTGAGTACCTTCCTGTCAATGTTACCTTAACATAATGATTATTATTAACGTAACCAAGGGCAATTGCTACATGCTCGTACCAAGGTGGTGGGCTAGATCGGAGCGGTAAATATGTTGTATTCCCGGCCATATTCAAAATATGTAATATCACATTGTATCGGGAAGCAATTAGTATTCTCCTGCATAGTCATCCAGTGCTCAACTGGTGCACACCGATCTTGCATTGTGCAAAAAAATTAACGTGTTAATTATAGACGTTATACCATCCTTAAGTTTCAAACATATTGGCATATTCCATCTTGTGAGATTCTAGTTCTTCCATTAAATTAGATCGAATTTTGAACCAATCGTCCTCCGGAAAACCAACACAGAGAGCTACCGCTCGAAATCCACAATTTTCATCAGATCTCACATCTTGCACTTGACATGTGGAAATGCACGCTACTTCTCCAGAGATTTAGGATGAACAAAGAACAAATCTTCTAACTCATTTGTTGTATTATTAGTACGGCTCTCATGCACATAACCATTGCATGTAAAAAAGACATAACAACTTGCATTTGAGTTTTACCTGCTTTCTCCCCCATCCGAAATTTTGACGTGCATTGCATATGATTTTTGTAATGGAAACATTATTTAGATTTTGTTTCTTCACAGACATTAAAATATCTCGTGGTTTCACATGCATCGCTGACAAATGTTCCACCAATTCGACTTCATTTGCTGACAATCACCTTGCATAAGGGTGACCTTCAAAATGCAGCGCAAGCTCATGATTACGTGCTCCACATATTACCCTTTTGGAATGGACAATCAATTTTTCTTGTGCTCGTGTTTTTTTATGAGATTTTTTTTGGCACATAAGTACCACCACAGTCACACTGAAATATAACCATAGGAATTTTATTCCAGGACCTTTTGATCACAATATCGACCTCTACTTTGAACCCATTCAATTAAATCTTCGCAAGACATGAATGTCTAATAAAAAATTATTTGTATTAATAATAAAATTACCATACAGGTAGAAAATAATATTTAGGGATGGTAATGGGTCGGGTGTGGGTCGGGGAGGGCTACATCCATCACCCGACCCACTATATATTTTCTCCACCCACCCCCACCTCCAACCCGCATCGGGTGGACTTTTTCAGAACTCACCCCCACCCCCACCGGGTGCGGGTGCCCACTACGGGTACCCACCACTTATCATCTTATTATGTTTTTCAAAAAATAATATTTAAATTATTTACACATAATAAAAAAATAAAATCCATTAGTGATACTAAAACATAAATAATGGAAATATTTAAATATAATAACTAAATTGTTAATTTTTAAAAATAAACTTAGTAGTTTTGATATAAAAATAGTAAAAAGATACACGAGTTATATAAACTATTATAAATAACTACATACTAGTACTTTTTTTACTATTATATATATATATATATATACACACACACATGGTGGGTCGGGTGGGGTTCTAGGCGGGTCTTGTACATAGAACCCGAATCCAACCCGACCCACTGCGGGTTTTCTTTTTTAAGACCCACCCCCGACCCACCACCCACCATCACCCAAAAAAACTCGATCCATGCAGGGTGGATTCGGGTGGATATCCACGGGTCAGATTGAAATTGCCATCCCTAATAATATTTGATATTTATAATATATAAATTATAATAGGTTATTTATAGTTTTACTGTTTCAGTATAAAATTCGCATG